TGGTTCCCAAAGGGGGTGAATAAAGGAGAGGATGTGGGAGAAGCATGACGATATCAACATGTCTAGGAAATAAACAACATTTCTGATTGGCCATTCTTATTTGGTCAGCTGTTATATGATCTGTGAAGCTACTAGAATTGCATAATTTCCAGTGTGACTAAGAAGGATAGGCCATCCATTGAAGAGATGGCTCAGTGGTTAAGAGCACTGCTACTCTTCTAGAGGACCTGGGCTTGATTTTCAGCCCCCACATGGTGGCCAGGAACCATCTGTAACTCCAGTTTCAGGGAATTCTGGCTTCTGTGGGCAGTATGTGCTTTGAGTACGCAGACATGCATACACTTGAAACTCTTGAAACTCCCGTACACATGGAATAAAAATAAAAAATTAAAAAAGAAGGCTGGAACATGAAGGAGCTGGTTTCTTTACCAAAATTAAAAATAAATAAAATAAAGTCACAGTTGTGGGGACCCTGAGAGGAGACAATGTACTATGCATCTCAGCAGCGTTTCTTCTCAACTAGAAAGGCAGGAGGTGACATGTGAGGGAAGACACACCTGGTCTATTACTTGGGCTATTGTCTCATCAGTTTGGGGTCTCAGTTTCCACAACTATAAGATGAGAAGTTCTTTGCACTTCCTGAGAACTCATCAACAGCAATGGCATAGATTCAGGATAATAATCTTTTCACACTCAAAAATGCATTCTCAATACATTCCATTCAAGTTACTAGCTCAATTCTTCCAGGGCTGTAGAAGCCAGCTTAAAGAATTGTGGTTCTATAGGCATGAGAAACAATTGAATATAATTGCTTTTGAAGGACACCCAATAAGGGTTACCTTAAGCTACTTTAATTGGTGGTGAGTTTCTAGAAATTGTGACCAAGAAAGTGAACATGTGTTTGGTGATTCCTGCTTTAGGAACATGCAACGCACTGCAGAAAGGTGAGCTAAGAGCAGTTGGATCGAATAGAAGAAAAGCATTTCTAAATAAACCAGCCTGCATAATAATATATTTAAACACTGAGTGTGCAGTTTATTGCATATTTTGAAGAGAGAAATGACACAAAGAGACTGTGCTAAGAAGAGACTAACCTGGAGGATGCAGTGAGACTCTCTCTCCAACAAGCAAGCAAGCAAACAAACAGAACCTGGGACCACAGGGTTCAGTGTCACCTGGGAAGGTTAATTGTTGGAATGCCCTGCTTCCTCCAACTGGTGTCGTTTTATTACAGGGAGGTAAGATGATCCACGACAGGATAATCGATGCAAAGCTCTGGTGTAGGAGCCAAGAGCTCTTCATATCTTTGATGTCCCAGGTTGTGGTCGATCCTCAGTGTATTACAGGCAGAGAACCTTCAGAGCTCTGGAGGCAGCATGTGATCAGAGATTGTTGTGCGATTTCCTCCAGCGCAGCTTGTCATAGCCACAGAAGTGCATACTGCCACCTGATGGACATCCTGAGAAGTTGCAACTACATGTTTTTAGTTGTGAACTTCATTCAACTAGAGACAATAAACAACAAAATGTTTTTATAAACCTAAAAAAGTGAAAATTCATATAAGGACTTCAGGAAGAATACATTCAGGTGAAAAGATCAGGATTTTATTGAATAAGTTTAATAGCATTAGCAAACAGAATATTCTCTAAGCTCTTACTATTTTTAGTATTTTAGGAATTAGGGATCCATGAACTTCTGTCTTAGTAGAATATTGTCTAGTGTGTGTTCCATTTATAATGGAACAATTTTGAAGAATTGTTGAAAAAATAGAAATGAGTCTTACATCTCATGAACTTCCATGTGTTTCTACTTAAGTATTATTTTATAATGAATATTGGTTTTAGAAAACAGACTTTGAATATACCCTTATGGAGTTATTCCTTTTTTTTTTTTTTTTTTTGGTTTTTCAAGAAAGTGTTATATGGTTTTGCATTGTTGAAGTTCATTATAAAATTCAAAATTTCTTACATTTAAAAGTTTGGATCTATGTGTGTTCTCTCCATATCTATGATGCTGGAATTATAAATAAAGTAATACAAAAAAAAGAGAAAGTTTTGTTAGAAAATTCACTTTCAGCTAGCTCAATAACTGGTACGTCTGATTTTTGGTTGCACCGAGATGCAGCCTGGGCTTTATGCATGTGTGACAAGCGCTCTGCTGGGCTATGGCCCTCCTCTCACATTTTACATCTTTGGAAATCCTACACTGTCATCAGGTTTTGTCTCAAGAGGAAACAACCAAAGGAAATAGGGAAGGTGCAAATACACATGCTCACTCCTTAACAAAGTTCTTGCTTCAGTTCTTTACAGTGTGGATCTCAAAAACACACAGCTATGACAGTCACGTGAGCTTGGGAAAAAGTAGTATTGGAAGGAGTGTGTAGAAATGCTCTCAGGTCAGCCTGCAAGGGAAATGTAAAGCTTATATTTTACTCGGAGTCCTTCAGTTTCAAGGTTTGTGCTATTTCCCCAAAGATAGAAAAAAAAATATCTTTTGAAGAAAATTGAGTTATCTAGTAAAGAAAAGGCTTACACCATGATGTTTCGGTGGGGGGAGGTTATTAACTTAGGGGAAAAAAAAGAGATCCTGGAAAAGTAAGTGAAGTGACATGTTAATGTAGATGAAAAAACAGATAAAGTCCACTTTCCTGAAATTGAAATGAATCTGGAAAAGAGCTCATGGACAATCAAAAAGAACTGGAGATAATATCAAGATAAACATTTCATAGGTATGCCTTTCACTGCTTTTCAAAAAAACCATACATTCACATAAAATACTGAATATGTAAAGAATAGAAATGCAAGAATGACTGCACCAGAGACAGATAATATATTTTCAGTGTGTACACCAGGTCTGCTACCTTTAACCACCTTTCAAGGTAAGCACCCTTCAGTATCACCTTCTCTTTCTGCATCATTTACATTGCTGTTGCTTTATTTCTTTAGAGTTAATGTGTTTGATTGAAAAGTAATAGTATAATTTTCTGTGTCAGTATCCAAATGCAGCAGACACATGGAATAACTTTTTTGACCTGTCACTTACTACCTGCTGCAACCTCAGATGAAAACTGTATTCCTGTTAAACACACGTGGTTACATTTTACACTAACCATATTCTGACTGTATTGAGAGAATAAGTGCACAAATAAATAACACACTTTTCTAAAGAAATAGGCAAGGTTTGGGGATATATAGATGGGTTACACATAAATGTCATTATTCTCGGCACTCTGCTGTCTTCCCTTTTCATTTAAAAACTTAACTTGGTAATTTTTCGTGTCAGCACCTGTAGATACCAATAGCAGTATGTAGCCCTACATACACATCGGTGTAACACTTAACAATGCAGGCATGCCATGTTTTATTCACTGTTCTTCTGTTGCTGGGAATATTGGAATAAGTAGTTTATACATGCTTCCTTGACAGTACATGGGCTCTGGACTGGATCCTGATCCAAAGAAAGCTGCATTGGTAGAGAAACTGCAGACTTGAGATAAAGCATACATAGTAAGTGATTGCTGGATTGATGGACCTTGTTTTTCTGGTGATTGCATTGTGGCTTTTAGCCCTAATCTTGGAGCTGAGGGAAGGGTGCGTGGGAATCCTGAACATCATTTTGGCAACATATTTGTAAGTCTAAAAATTGAAATAGTTCAAACAGTTCTGTGAGCCTAATTCCTAGAGGGGAAGGGGGGAAGGCGGGAACGCCAGGGTAGATTCAAGAAAGGTGGAGAGTCAGAATAGCAGGAAGGGACTGCATCTTTTGCTCCAGTTTGAGGAATTTGTATCCTTTACTGCAAGGCGTGGCCAATCACAAAGGCTCCAAAGTCCAGGAGAGAGATGGTCAGGTCCGCTTGAGAAGCCTCCCTGGAAACCAGAAATGCTGAGGCATGTGGGGTGGGGTGTGTGTGTGTGTGTCAGGGGACACCTAGGACAGGCTCAGATACAGCAACTCAGCAACTCAGCAGGAAGCAGCAGAAGGAGGGGTCTTGAGAAGATGGAAATCGTGTTTCCAGGGCTGTCGCAGGAGTGGTGAAGGGTTTTTAGGCGCCAACTGCTCTTGGGTTGGTGCCCAGTTCTACCTGCTGTGAGCAGGAGCCTCGAGCCTCCGCCACAGGAAGGGAAGGGCAGACCAGGCCTCGAGGGCTGAACGTTGGTGTCTTTGCTCTTCATTTTCCAGGGGGTGATACCAGGTATCCCTCATCCCCTCCTTTAGCTGGACCTGCTGCGGAAGAAGGCGCAGCAGGAGCTCTGCCACCCTCAGTCTGGGCCTGACTCAGCAGTCTAGGTACTGAACTTCAGGAGCTCACGCTGCCAAGGGCCATAAACCCCAGTCATAGGGCCAATTTAAATGTTCTTTAAGGTCCCAGTCTAGCTGAGAGGGCCCGTTTTGCTATGATATATAGCAAGTTTGTTGGGAAGTAGTCTTAGAGGCTATTCTTTTCTTTCACCTTAACGCCTACTACCCATCCTTGGTGTTAACACCCAAGGAAAATTCATGCTGTGCTTTAGCGAACATTTGTGATTTTATTCTAAAAACTCAATAACCTTGGAGTGAGCAGCTCTGAAGAGTATATGCACATAGCCAATGAACATGTTCCACTGAAGGTGTAAGAGAACATCACAATATTTAAAAAAATAAATATAACACATAGTATAACTTTACAATATTAAAACACACAATACAACACACACAGTATGACTTTACAATGTTAAAACACACACACATATAGCACATACACAGCGCACGTAGACTATCTCTTTAAATAGAACCCCCTAACATTCTTAACATTCTTTTGTTTGTTAGAAGAATCCGTTCCCAGCATGCACTAGTCTGCCTATGACATTGACTCCTCTCTAGAGGCCAGTCTGAGCAGGCCAGTATTTTCTAAAGGGAAACTGGTCCGTATATGAAGATGTTGTTTGGGTATACAAAGATAATAGTGTTGAAATTCCTTCATGTTTCATGTTTCTTTCCCTTTTTCACACAGAAGTAGATAAATGGCAAGCAAAAAGCGTGAAATCCAGCTACAGGTGGGTCTGTCCTGCCAGCAGGTCTGTGTCTGGTGCAATGACACTTGCCCTGTCTTACAGTGTTTTGCTTTTCACAGTCAGTCATCAATAGTCAGAACCTGTGGGATGAGATGTTGCTGAACAAAGGCTTAACAGGTACCGGGGCTCTCTGCTGTCCGCATCCAAGCTTTGTCCCCAAGCACCGGGGACACCTTGCAGAATTCAACTCTTGTGTTTCAAAGCTGCCTTCCTCCTCACCTGGGATGGGAATGTCCCAGCCTCTAGCTCCTTTGACTCTGCCTTTTGATAAATGTCGCCATCTTCTAGTGATTGATGTTTACCAAGCCTGGTGTGGACCTTGCAAAGCCGTGCAAGCGTTATTCAGAAAACTGAAAAATGAACTGAATGAAGATGAGATTCTTCACTTCGCGGTTGTAAGCTTTTCGTTTTCATTCAACTTGTTTACTGTTACATTAGGGCTTATGGATTCCCAAGTGCTTCAAGTATTGTCTTAACTTAAGCAACCTGTCAATCTTCATTCTAAACAAACAATGCTTGCTTGGCAGTTTTACTATGTATTTAGTTCTACTAGTTTGAGAATTAGTATGATTTTACCTAATTCCTGGGATGCTGACTGAGATAAACCATCATGACTGCAAACCTTAGAAAAATATAAAAATGGACATGTATCTGTTGATATTTCTTTTACCTCATGACATGGTTAATATATGTCCCTGACGTTAAGATGATGGGGAGCTGTGTACTGGATGTCATGGAGTAGATCCCGAGATACTTATCTATGCACAAATGCTTCAAAGGAAATAATTTCTCTTTTCACCTATTAGTTATAAAAATTGATGAGATTAAATATCATAGTCAAATTCATTTAACCCAATTGTATTGGTTATTCAATTTCTCTATATCCAGTTAACAATTGGTTAGAATCTTGTTGTTCAATATGCCTTAATGTAAAACAGGACACTTGAAATCTATCTAGACTAGTTACAGAAATGCGTTTTCAATTTTGATTAATCTAATCTTAAAAACTGAAGTCTGTTGAGATAGTTCAGTGGATAAAGGCACTCGCTGGCAGGCCTGATGACATGGGTTTGATCTCTGGGACTCCAATGAAAGTAGAGACAGAATCTCTCTCTTTCTCTGTCTGTCTGTCTGATTCTCTCTCTCTCTCTCACACACACACACACACACAAATAAATTTTAAAAATTTAAAAACTGATACTACCAAATTAAATTATTGTGAAATGTAATATGCTATATGACATATGCTATATGCTACTTTTTATTAGAGGTCAATTATTGATTAATTATTTATTGAATATTAATCACTAAATATGCTTTAAATACGAATTTTTATGAAATAATACATTTTAAAATTTATTATGGAAAATGACATGAGACATTATTAATACTTTTTACATTGAATACATGTTGAACTGATAATATATTGAGTTAAGGAAAGTATTTTACTACTTTATATTCATCTGTTTCTTTTACATGACTACCAGAGAACCTAAAATATATTTCTATTAGACAGATGCATACCTAAGTCAGCCAGCTATAAACTGCCAAAACAATGTACTCCAGATCTCTAAACTACGTAGACCTTCAAAGACACCCTTGGAGTCAGTTTGCTTCCTGACCTCACATGGTTTCAACTGGCCATCCCCTTCTGCAGAAGCATTCTGTCCTTCTTTTCTTTATAATTTTTAATTTTGTGCATGTGTGTGTGTGTGTGTGTGTGTGTGTGTCTGTCTGTCTGTCTGTCTGTCTGTGTCTGTGTCTGTGTGTATGTATGTCTGTGTCTTTCTCTCTGTATGTGAGGTGGTGTCTGTGTATGGGTGCATGTATGTTGAGTGTGAGTGTACCAAGAGGCCAGGGCTGTTGGATCCCCTGGAGCTGGAGTTACATGTAGTTGGAAAATCATTACTTTCTTAACAAAGCAAGTGAGGCAGCCCCACACCTGCCTGTGGTACAGTGCTGAACGAGACAGTCTGCCTTGGGTGAGAGACAGTCAAGTACAATATGGAGCCAGAAGTGACCTGTCAGGAGGGAGTAAGAGACATTCTTTGGATCAAGGACACTTGGGCTGGATTGGAAGAGTTATGGCAGTAATACCAGGCAGTAAGGAAGGTAAAAACAGAGGTGAGTTTGACTGCAGGCACCAAAATAACACAGGCTTGAGTTACTAATGCGTGCAGTTTGGTCCTTAATGCAACTATTACAAAACCAGAAAATGTTGCTGTTCCAGAAAATTGTGTATATCTCTATACCATTTGAACGTAAGATCCAGAATAGTGTGGATATTGCTTTCTCATTGTTGTATAAAATGTTTACATTATTGTATAAAATAATTCATCCTTCAGGCTGAAGCTGACAGCATTGTGACTCTGCAGCCATTTAGAGATAAATGTGAGCCTGTGTTCCTCTTTAGTCTTGTAAGTATAGCATTCATCATCTCATTATCAGATTCCTGTGATGGAGCAGGTAGCAGGGAAAATTACCATGGGGCTGTTTGCTGGTGCTGATAATTGCACAGTGTTTGCCTTATCTCTGTTTGCCTGATAATAAATTTAATAATTTGCCTTTGGGGAGCTTGTTAAGACTATCACATACTGAGCTGATTAGAAAAAAGACAAGTCGGCATTTACTGGAGTGAGGAACCGTTCTCAGATGAGCTGCAGGAGAGAACTGATTCTAAGTATTCATGGATTTGTGTGAAAGCATTTGCCTAATCACTCTCGCTATTGCATTTTGCTCCCATCTCTGTGTTTACAAATGTTTAGAAATAGTGTAGAAAGTTTATTCCCAAGTTGTTCTCATTGCTTTCTATGGGGGGGGGGGTGATCTTATTTCCCCTTTACACTTGTCAGTACTTGACCTGTATTTTGCATTGGACACACAACTGCAATAGTCAGAAAACAATGTGATAAACGTTATTTCCTAAAACCAGTCTACAGTTAAGCCCTCAATTCCGTGGTCATGAAGAGAACCTTCAGCAGAGGCAAACACCACTCGGTCAACCTTCTGGTGAGGGTACTTAGTTTTCAATAGTAGAAATAATTATTAATAGCACTTCTTGTATACAAGCTCTCGATTCTGTTAAATAATGCTCTTGTAACTATTTCAAGCAAATGAATTACTGATTTAGTCGAATAAAAATATATCATGTTCTTGCATTATGTTGAATGTATAGCTCTTGATGTATAGTATTTTCAGCTTTTGAAGCAATATGGTCTTTGTTTAGAGTGATGGTTTTGATGCCACCAAGCCTATTTGCAGTTTAAGGAATCAGGATGAGGAACTTCACAGAGGGAAGGCTTGCTGCTTTGGAACATTCTTCCTGAAGCCTAGAAGTGGTGACTTTTTTTTTTCGGATTTTTGTCAGACCATGAACAAAGTAGACGTCTCTCTTTCTTCCTATCACTCATACTTCAGTTACTTTATTTTCCTTTGTTTGTTAGAATCCACTACATTTGATTAATTATCTAGTTTCCCACATCAGTTCTATTACTTCAGATCTTAGAGTAAATTCTGCTGCTAATGTCACAGTTTGACATTGGTTCAAAGTCTGATTTTCAAACCCGGGTTCCCGTGTCCCCTCTGGGTTTCATTATCTAGGTTGACACCTCACTCTGCCCTGGCTTGTGAATTCCTAGTCTCTTTTCCATCAAGGATCTTTCCTCCCAGCATACTTCATCCACTAAGCACTGTATTCATGTTCTGGGCACTTTTTTCCTGAACACACCAGATCAACAACCACTTAGGGAAGAATAACATTCCCTACCTACAAAACTGCCCTCCAGCTGACCATTTGTTATTTAAACACTCCCATCCCGACCTCTTTAATTAGTCAGGTTTTCTCAGCAAAAACTTCCTTCTAGCAAGTTTCAGCCAGAACAGTTCTGTTCAAGAGAATTGTCAGGCTGGTATTGGACTGAGAATCCTTAGATGAACACCTGAATTGCAGACAGACATCTTCTCTTGCTCCCTCCAATGCCTTCCACAAAGCCGGAAAAATAACCTTCACAATTGGAATTTTAATTGTGGGGCTAGAGGGATGGCTTAGCAGTTAAGGTGCACATCACCCACAACAGTGTCTCACAATCACCTGTAACTCCAGCTCCAGGCTGACCTCATGTGTACACACACACACACACACACACACACACACATGCACACGCGCACGCGCACACACACACGCACTCATGCATGAGGACATGCACAAAATAAAATAAATCTTTTAAAAAAAAGAATGTTAATTGTGAGCACAATCTGTAGTCCAGCATTCTAGTGGTTTTTGACTGAGAGAGGGATGTCTTCTCCTTCCAAGGTGCCCAAGGCTCCATACGGTCTGGGTTTCTCTGGGTATTGAGACCATGCATACTGGGTTCAGCCCCACTTTCCCAAAGGGCCTCTTCCCTTGCCATGTCTCCTACAGGGCCCATGCCCTTGCATCTGTTATTCTTTCTGCATAGTATATTTCCTCTCTTTTACTTCCCCCCCTTCATGATCTCATATCTTCTTTCATATCTTAAAGCAAGAAACACTTCCCAATATTGAGCAATATCTCAGCTGATCTCTGTAGCTTGAGTTTTCCTGCCTGGCCCACAGTCAGGACAAATCTCTCTCACCTGCCAGTCCCACAGCCGCTCAGACCCAACCAAGTAAACACAGAGACTTATATTGGTTACAAACTGTATGGCCGTGGCAGGCTTCTTGCTAACTGTTCTTACAGCTTAAATTAATCCATTTCCATTAATCTATACCTTGCCACATGGCTCGTGGCTTACCGGCATCTTCACATGCTGTTTCTCATCATGGCGGCTGGCAGTGTCTCTCTGACTCAGCCTTCCACTTCCCAGCTTTATTCTCCTCCTTGTCCCGCCTATACTTCCTGCCTAGCCACTGGCCAATCAGTGATTTATTTATTGACCAATCAGCAACACACTTGACATACAGACCATCCCACAGCAGATCTCCCTGACCAAACAAGTTCTTGTAGATGCTCTGGGTGCTCTAAGCCTCCCTTAATGGTACCAGTGGGGTTGCTATTCCACGTGTCGGTGCTTTTGTGGGTCTTCTGGTTTCTTGTTGGTTATTTAATAGGGTTGGATACAAGGCCTCTCATTCCATGCCATCATGCCTGGTTCTATGTCCATAAATAGATGCTTAGTGTATATAAGGTAAAAGACAGACAAAAGTGCGGGACCAGTTGTGGGAATTACAGAGCCAGAGAGAGTGGAGCAATTGCTTAAAGCTGAGTTCCCTGAGCTCTTCTACCACCCCTTAGCCCAGTGGAATCCCTTCTTACATTGAGGGCAGTGGGTGCAGGGCAGGTTGAGCTGCAGGGGCTGGCTACTGTTTTTCCAGCTGCTGTGGCTCAATGCGAAGGGGTATGGCATCTATCTTAGTTTTCATTGTCAACCTGACACAACATTCGTCTATCAGGAGAGTCTTAATTGAGGAGTTGCCTAAGTCAGATTGGGCTGTGAGCATGTCTGTGGATGCTCGGCTTGATTATTAATGGATGTAGAAGGGCCCAGCCCCCTGCAAGTGGCACCATCCTTAAGCATGCAGTCCTTAGCTGTATAAGAAAGCTTGAGGACAAGCTGGCAAGCTGAGTTCTTCCATGGGTTCTACTTCAAGTTCTTGCCCTGATTTCCCTCAATGATGAAGTGTGGTAGAGAAGCATAGCACAGATAAACATTTTCCTCCCCAAATTGCCTTTGGTCAGTGTGCATGGCCACATAAAGGAAATTAGAACATCATTAGATCAAACTGAAGGCCCTGTCTAGAATCCCTCACATTTAAAGCAAGGATGAATGAGGCAGGTATTCTGTGAGTGCACGTGTAGGGCGGTGATGTGCTGTAGGTGGTGGGGTTACAGACCTGGGTGGTAGTGTAAGGATGCTGCAAGGAGGTGGGAATGCAACCATGCCTTTTATAGAGGACAGACAAAGTGTGGAACTCTAATTGCTGATGTTACCATCAAAGTGGACTGTCTCATCAGTACCACTTTCAAATGGCTGATAACAGTATCTAAAGGATGGTGGTGGGAAATGGGATCAAGGGGAGGGAACTTAGTCCAGAGTAAATGTTAATTATGGACTTCCTATGAAAATGAAAGTTTCTTTATACTTTCCTTTCTCTTGTAGAATGGTAAAATTGTTGCAAAGATTCGGGGTGCAAATGCACCTCTTATCAATAGAAAGGTCATTGGCTTGATAGAAGAAGAGAGGAAAGTTATAGCAGGTGAAATGGCTCGTTCTCAGGTAATACTATTGATGAATAGCTATTATAACTTTTGAAATGCATCCTATTTTATGTTTCCTTACAGCATTTTCCCTAGCTATATATGGCAGGCCACTTTATCTCACTGTGATAAAATACCCAAGACAGTTGGCTTATAAAGAGGAGAGGTATGGCTAGGCTCCTGTGACTTCATTGTCCTTCCTTCCTGTTGCTTTAGGGCTGTGGCAAGACAGCACATCGTGGCAGGCAGTTGGTAGTGGAACAAGTTGCTCAACTCATGGGAGCCAAGAAATGAAAAAGAAAGAGGAGAGGAAGAGATCCTTCAAGGGCGTGTCTCAAATGAACCATGTTGCTCCAACGAGGCCTTACTTTAAAATTGTCCACCACCTCACACTAACATCACAGACGTGGGCTTCAGCCTCTCACACATGGCTCTTCAGGGGCACTTTATGTGAACTATAGTGCTCTATCTCTAGCTAGGGGCTGACATAATACTGCTTCCTCGGGAAGCATGTTGCCACTGCAAATCATAGGCGCTTTTGTGTTCTACCTTTTATTCCCCCTGGCTTTTTATTTATTATAAATAAAATTTCTGGCATTCTTTGACTATCACACTAAAGGGGCTGTTCTACTTCCATTTCTCTTTCACAGTATGTGGAAATTCCACTAGTAGATGAATCTGAAGAAGAGCTGGGGGAAGGACAGTATGAAAGTGTTGGTAAGTCACAAGGGAGTCCAGTGTCTTTTCTGCACATGTGCCCCTTTACTATGTTATGGTAGCAATGAAGAGCTGCCGTATCATTGAGAGGCAGTGCAGGACTGTTCCTCTGCATAATGGCTCACATCTTTGGTTCCCCTTACCTTATGCCTTTGATTTCTGATTAAAGACCCTTCATTGCTTACCCAGGAGCATGTGTTCCTATCTTCTGCAACTGATCTGGGATCCAGTTTCCAGTTCATCTTTCACCTTCCAAGCCTTGCAAAAATAATTTCTTCTTTGAATTCAGTATTTTTGATTTAATCTCAGTTGAAAATGTCATGCCTTTTCTGGAGTCTCCATGTCAGTGTTTCTCAACCTGTGGGTTGTGACCCCTTTGGGGGTCAAACAACCCTTTCATGGGGGTTTCCTAAGACCATCAGAGAACACAGATATTTACACTACAATTCATAACAGTAGGAAAATTACAGTTATGGAGTAGCAACAAAAATAATTAAATTGGGGCTCACCACAACATGAAAGAACTGTATTAAAAGGTCACAGCATTAGGAAGGTTGAAAACCACAGCTCTATGTGTTTGTGTGTGCATCTGTTTGACTGTGTACATGTGTGTGCAAATACTCATGTGCTTGTGTTATACTCATGAGCACATATACACTTGAGTGTGTGTGTTCATTCTCTATGGAGTTGTAAAGGCAAAGAATAACTTACACTCAGTGATCTGATGTGATGGGTAGTGTTAACTGTCAGTTTGACAGAATCTAGAGTCACCCAGAACAGAAGTGTCTGTGGGTGTCAGTCCAGGATCACCTTATTCAGGTTATCTGAGGTGGGAAGACCTGCCCACTTGTAGATGGTACCATTACCATTACCAGTGTTGAACCTTGAAGAACATAAAAGGGAACCAATAGCTCAGTGGCAGGCTTCATTCATCACTCTTTTCTTGTCGACTGGAGGTGTGATATGACCAGTGGCCTCAACATTTCGCCATCTTGGCTTCCCCACCATGGGGGACAATTTTCTTGATCTGTGAGCCAGAATAAACCCTTTCTGCTGAAAGTCACTTCTGCCTGGTATTTTACCATAGTAACAGGAAAGGTAACTAAGACAACCAGTACAGGAAGTTTGTGGTAAGAGTCCATTTTTTACGTGGTAGCTCTGTTGATTTGTGATTTGTATCTGCAAAGTGCATGATTGAAGCTTTACTCACTGTTAATACTGACTGATAGGAACCACAGATGTGATTCTAATGTATAAGAATTGTATCAAAACTATAGTACCCATATACTCATATCATGTCTCCTTAGTAATCCAGACATTATCAATTCATATTTCTAATTGCCAGATCTTTCATTATCCTGGTTCTGAGCCAAGAAGATTAACATTTGGTTTTACTCTTAGGGGAACCTTACAATATGGCTATTATCAAACCTGATGCTGTACTCAGGAGAAAACATATAGAAATTAAGGAAAAAGTAAGTAATACTTACCGAAAGTTGTTTAAATTAATTACAAAATAATACCTTATGATAAAATAGAAAACACTGAATTGCTCTTCCTAGCTCCCTCTAAAAGAGTTTGCTTATTCTGTCTTACAAAGACTATTGCTGCCTGGGGGACCAGCCTCCAGGCAGCACAGGGATCAAAGGGAAATCCACAGTGTCAGTGTGTACTAGACTTTTCTATCTGTGGAGGTTAGGGAAAAAAAAACCCACATACTCTCTTGATGGTTTCCTTCTTTATTCTTCTCTGTTGTTCTCTTTTTTTTCTTTCCCTCTACAGCTTAAATACCTTCACAAAATCTTTCAGGCAATACATGAATCACAATGTGGTTACATTTCATTTTTCAAGTGAATAATTATAATGAATATAGGTAAAACATGTTTTTGTCTCACTTACATGATTAAAAAGAGTCACCCCAATAACCCATATGTGGTACATCTAAATAACTTGTTACAGATTAATAGAACATGAGCAAGCAAGGAGCACTTTTCCTCAGCCATTGTGGTTACAATGAAAGGATTAATCGCATTATTATCTATCTTGACAGGTAATCATAAGGAATTTTAAAGGAGTCACAAACCTAAACTTTTATACATAAAAAAGTTAGTCAGCTGAACTTTGAATCTTCAGTGTACATAACAATTCATCAATAGTTTCTTATATCAGAAAATTGATATCAGGAATGGGTACAAGGAATTATTCATCACTTTTGATTATCAACCAGACATAGAAAAAAATGTATGCCAGCTAGCAGCAATCGGGCTGCTTTGTATTTTCAACCCTAGCCTAATGAATCAGACAACTCAGCTATGTGTCCTTGTGAACTTTAGATTGTTTTCTGGGGTTATTCATCTTAAAACTATTATCAAAGCATCTGGTCTAAGCTGAAGTTATTTTGAAGCTTTGTTTCACCTAGTGACGTACACCAAAACCTGTGACTGCATTTTCTAGTATTAAGAGAATTAGAGCCAGCCTGGCTCCTGGGGACTCAATTGTTTTCCTTAATCATTAACCTGAACTGTGATCTATGTAGCTCCTTAGGTAAAACTTATAGGCCCTAGATGTATAATATTTCCTTGTATTTACTTTCATTCATCAAAACTCTGTATTAGCTATCATTGTTATCAATTAGGCAGTACAGCTTAGGGAGGAATCATCTTCATGACAATCCACAGATTAAAATGTCCAGTAGAATGAGATGTTTCCATGGGATAAACACACTACATTACAAGCAGTGGGGATCTCTCCACAACCATTTCATGCCAGGTCCCAGAGAAAGATAGCCACAGCAAACATGTAAAGGCACAGCAGAAGCAAAAGACATTCTGGAGTCTGTAGTCTTGTGGCCTTGCCTAACCAGGGTTGACCCATCAGAGAGTTTCCTCCTGGTGGACTGATACCATGAACTTCAATTGCCACCTGCTGCTCCTCTGACACAGGTACTGGCAAAGGACCTCATTTCCTCCTGTATCTTTCTTGAATTAACTGCCTTACTACCACCCTACAGAAACTTTCAAGATTTTAGATGCTATATAATACTGTTATAAATGTTCTTTTTCTTTAGCTATTAGTGATACAACATTGTTATAAACTCACATTAACTTGCTTTTTTCTTGTATTTTATAAACAAATGGCACTTTTCAATGCATGACAATTTAAGAAACCATTCAATACTTGCTTTTAGACCCAAAGTATATTTTTACATTAATTTAATTTATAGTATGCCTTATATGGAAATATTTATAAGATACAATTTTCACAGTTCCTTACATGCATGTGTAATTGATTCTAATGCAGATAGACAAATATTTCCTATAAAAAGTCAAAGTGGCTGGGCGGTGGTGGCGCACGCCTTTAATCCCAGCACTCGGGAGGCAGAGGCAGGCGGATCTCTGTGAGTTCGAGGCCAGCCTGGTCTACAGAGCAAGATCCAGGAACGGCGCAAAGCTACACAGAGAAACCCTGTCTCGAAAAACAAAAACAAAAACAAAACAAAACAAAAAGTCAAAGTGACTAGTGTCTTCTTTCTAGCTTTTTTATTTAGTGTCTTAAGGTGTTCCTTGTATTGATATTGTTTCACCTGTATGGTTAGGTTTTAGTCCTAGGTGTTTTCTTTTTGTTTTAACAAGGTTTTCTCTGGTTTTTTTTGGTGGGGAGGGGCAGGTTTGTTATCAATGTATAGAAATGCTAGTGATATTTTTATGTTGATTTTTTGCACCCGGCTACTTTGCTGGAGTTTGTTAGCTCTAATTTTTTTTAATAGAGTCTGCAAGATTAAGTATAAGGTCATGCCATTTACAAATGGGGATGACATGTCTTCTTCCTCCATATTTGAATTCCTTTTGTTTTTTTCTCATGCCTTCTTGCTGGACCTAAGATTTCTAGCTATAGATGTCTAGCACTAAATTAAATAAGAGTAGAGATAGTGGATATTCTTGTGTTATTCCGAAGTTTAGAGGCAATGCTTTCATTGTTTCTGTGGCTAGCATAGTGTTGGCTGCAGATTCTTCATAGATAGCCCTTACTATGCTTGGATGTGCTCCTATCTCTAGTCTCTTCAGGAATTTTCTGATGAGAGGATATTCAGCTTGTCAAAGCCTTCTTCACTCTGATTGAAATGATCATGTTTTTTCTGTCCTTTGTTCTATTTATATGCTGAATTACACTTATTGTATTGTACACAAGTCTGTAGAATAAACATTGCATCCTGCAGTGAAATCAACTTGGTCATGATGTATGAACTTCTTAATGTATTTTTTAATATAGTCTGTGCTGTGGGATAATGCTCTTGAACACTGGTTTAGTGAAACGCTGACTGGCCAGTAGCCAAGCAGGAAGTATAGGCAGGTCAAGGAGCCTAGGTGGATGCTGGGAAGAGGAAAAGGTCAGGAGTCACCAGTCAGACACAGAGGAAACAAGATGACAGGCAGAACTGAGAAAAGGTACCAAACCACATGGCTAAACATAAATAAGAATTATGGGTTAATTTAAATGTGAGAGCTAGTCAGTAATAAATGTGAGCTAATGGCCGAGAAGTTATAATTAATGTAAGACTCTGTGTGTTTACTTGGGGGACACAAATGGGAGAGATTTGTCCCAACCTTTGGCCAGCCAGGACACAGGAAAAGTTCTAATTACAAGTTTGCAAGACTTTGAGAATTTTCATGTTTATATTCCCTGGGTAAGTTGATCTCTAGGTTTGTTTCTTTGTTGTGTCCTTATCCTGCTTTAGAATCTGGGCAATGCTGGCTCCAGAGAGTGTGAATTTACTGATACTATTCTTTCCATTTCTCTGTTATGGGTCAGTTTAAGGCGCATTAGTATTTGCTCTTCTTTAAAGGTTTGGCGGAATTCATCTGGACCTGAACTTGTATTTGTTGAGCAGTTTTTGTATTACTACTTCAATCTTACTGATTTATAGATTCATCTAAGTTGTTCATATTTTCCTGATTGAATTTTTGTAGGTAATACATATCTAGGAAGTTATTCATTTCTTCTCAATTTTCCACTTTTTTGAAATATAAATTTTCAAAGAACTCACTAATGCTTTTCTGTATTTCAGTGGCATCTGTAGTAAATTCCTCTTTTCCATCTCTTATTTACTAATTTAGGTCTTCTCTCTCCTAGTTATCTTGGTTTCCCATCTTATTTTATCAGAGAAATGAGTCTTTGTTTGATTCATTCTATATATTGTTGTTGTAGTCTCCAATTTAATGATATCTATCCTGATCCTTACTATTTCTTACTCTCATATAGATTGTGCTTGAGGTCCAACTGTAAGTTATTTTTTTGAGAATTCTTAGATATTTCTTTTTCTCTCTTCCCCAGATACTTGTATTGTAAACATTCATAACTATAAAGTTTCCTCCTACACTTGTCCTAGCTATATCCCAAAGATGTTGGGACTTTGTGCTTTCACCATCATTTATTTCCAGGAATTTTTCAAATTTCCTATTTGGTTGACTCAGTGAGTCATTAACATTCAAGGGTGTATTGTTTAGTGTCAATGAATTTATGTAGTTACCATATTTTTCTTATCATGGGTTTTAAATTTTATGGGACCATGTGTAGCTGGAAGTTTTCCTGTGTCCCGACCAGGACAGATCTCTCCCACTTGCATCCCCCCAAGTAAGCACGCAGAGGCTTATATTAATTATAACTGCTTAGCCATTAGCTCAGGTTTATTACAGACTAGCTCTTACATTTAAATTAACCCATAATTCTCATCTATATGTAGCCATCTGGCTTGGTACCTTTTCTCAGTTCTGCCTTCAAATCTTGCTTCCTATGTGTCTGGCTGGTGACTCCTGTATGTCCAGTTGATACAACATTTTGTCAAGCAGTCCAGGCAAGAACAGTTTCTTGTCCAAATGGCTAACTTTTGCCATGAAGGAGATAAACTCCATAAGGAGTGTCTTTGGTGCCCATCATCTTTCCTCGAAGTAATTTGGTGCTGCCAGGAGCAGACGTGTCTCATTGTCCAGAAAGTTTAAGTTTTTAAAACATTGTAAATGCCATATTCTGTAGGTCTTTGAAGTGTTTCAAGATTACCTACCTAACTGAAATATATCTATGTATATCTAGATAACAACTAATATGACTACAAGTTTGATTATCATGGATGACTAATTGTTAATCTGTATTTCTAATTATACATTACAATTGAAATGAGTTACATAAACACAATATCTTAAACAAGAGTAGAAATATATATACAGTATAATAAAATTAACTTAAAATTTGTATCAATAAACTAAAATCCATAGCAATATAAAACATCTTTAAACAAGTTGTTGCTCTTTAAAAGTAGGTTCAGTAATCTACCCTTTCATCCTATCATATCTATACTATCCTCTTTTCTTCTTTAGAAAGAGATTGCATTTATAATCAACCTCCTTTAAATAAAAATAAACATTTATTAACAATATTTTGGGAATTTGGGCATAGCTTCTCATACTGCCTCTTGCTGGTTGAGGGTGCTGGCAATCTTATGATTGCCTGAGAAAATTAAGAATTTCAGTGAAGTCCTGACTGGAATAGTATGTGAGGCTGCATTGTCTGAGCCAGTTGCCTTGAAGCCATTCTGGATGTTGGATCATCTGAGCCATGGTGTCATTGGAGACCTTTCAGGGGGTCTTGGTTGTTCAAACCATATTAGCCTGGAAGCAATTCATAGGTTCTCATCTTCTGTGGAAACAAAAGCAGAACCTCTTTTCCAAAGCAATATATCCTTAGACATAAATTTTGAAGTCAAGATACCTTTAAAATACACATATTTGTTTAACTGAGTAGCCTTTACAATCCAATGTCTCTCTGCAGTTAAAAATCCTAAAGACAATATAATCCAGACTCTGTGTGATTTCCATCTTTACGTGGCTTATTTTTTATATTATTTTTACTTTCTCTTTAAAGACTTTCTTTTTTAAAACTTTCTATTTCTTTATATAAATGTCTATATTCCTTTTCCTCTCTCTTCCAAGCCTACATACATTTTTACACACTGTAAACTGTTTAGGGTTTATCCCATCTGAATCTGTCTTATTGTGAATCTATTGCTTTAAACTGAAGAATGGTTAGAAGTGGCAGCCTTGGCTGTTGACTCTACCCACCTCAGCTTTTCAATATGGCAGGGGTACATTTGCCATCAGCTCTGGGAGTCATGTGTACCACCAACTCTCAGGTCTATGCCTCCATTAAAGCAGCATGTAGCCCAGAAACCTTTTTTGTTGTTGTTATTGTTTTGTTTGTTTTTGAATTAGCAAAAGCTAAATCCACTATGCAGCATACAGTGAGACTTGTAGATGCCTCTGTTTACCATGGTGGGAATCCGCCGTGCTATGTTTCAGCCCGCATACCATGAACTCACCATACTGTAGTTCAAGTCCACAAGCCATGGCATCTCTGTACCTTGGCATCTCTATATCTCAGCCTGCATAAGACATGAAGTAGAAAGCTGTTTTTAACTCCATTATTGTGTGTTTAGAAGCCCTTTTTAAACTCTTTTAGGCTTTGTGGAAATTCAAGAGCCCACGTTGGTATGCCAATTGTAGTTGGAAGTTTTTCTGTGTCCCGCCCAGCTGCACAGTCCCTCAGCTTCTTATAAAATAATCACTCAGAAGCTTATATTAATTATAACTGCTTAGCCCTTAGCTTAGGCTTATTACTGACTAGCTCTTACACTTAAATTAACCCATAATTCTTATCTATATTTAGCCACCTGGCTTCGTACCTTTTCTCAGTTCTGCCTTCACATCTTGCTTCCTCTGTGTCTCACTGGCGACTCCTGACTCTGCTCTTTCTCTTCCCAGAATTCTCCTTGTCTGTTTGCCCCACTGTTGCATATCTGTTTGCTTTGAGGTTTCATTGTTGATTTTCAGTTTGAATGATGAATCTGAAATTGAGAGTGGGGTGCTGAAATCACCTATATCATGATCAAACTGACCTTTGAACTCCATTAGTGTTTGTTCCATAATATTTGAGGCTGAACATTCAGTGCATGTATATTTGTTATTGGCATATATTCTTGCCAAATCATCACCTTCTTAAATATGTAATGTCTTTAAGAAATCTATTCTTACTATTTTTTGCTTTATATATACCCTATCAGCTATCAGGATTGCTATGTCAGGTAGTTTTCAATTACTGTTTGCTTGATAGATTGTTTCTAATCATTTGACTCTCAGTCTGTGGATGCCTTTACTAGTAAGGTATGTTTCCTTGAGACAATATATCATGGGATCTAGTGTTTCAATTGAGTTAGCCTTCAAAATGAAAACAGGGAAACAAAAGAAGCTAAAATAGTTTTGAACATAGTTGAGAAGTATTTTTAAATTTCAATTTTATGAATAATTCAGAAAGATTATATGGAGTGTGTGTGTATTTTCTTAGAATTATGTTCCTATTTTCCCCATCCTTTTATGTTAGTCTTTCAAATTTTGAGGTAGTCCACTGTAATATAAATATTTTGAAATCTTCTATTGAAGTTTTAAAAACATGGATATCTAGGGAGTATCAAAGGAACCCCTTTATGCATTTCTGAGCCACTTCAAATGTAGGTTTTCTTGGGGTCTTTACCTGAACAGATTAAAACTAGGTAGTTATTAAGTCCTGAAGTAAACAGCCCTAATTTATTTTATATGTTTTCTTGTGTCATGTTTACTTCTGACCTTACCTGAATTAAAGATTGTCAAAGAAGGATTTATCATAGAAGCAAAGGACAACATGTTTCTCCCTGAAGAGCTAGTGAGGGAATTCTATAGTCGTAATGCAGACCAGGTAAGAAGACTTTTAAAAAAACACTGTGTATTCATTTACATATTTATACATGCACATATATATTCAATTACAGTGTTTGCTATAAGTTTACATTACAGAATAGATAATTAGTAAGTATAACCAACTGAATAAACTTTTGGTGCCTTGACAATGTCCACATCTTGATGATGTCAATGATGGTGTGTCTGGGAACATCTCCAGTGGAAACAGTAGCACCCAGGCAAAATCAAATCATTTGTTTTGTTGAAGACTTCTTTCTGCTATGTTCTCTGGGAGTGAAAAGCCAGTCATCTCCCATCAATTTTCAGACTTGGCTGAAAGTACTCCTTTTTATCTGGTACCTAGGGATGCTGTAACCCACTCCTTGTCCACATCTAAGTCTATATATACTCAAGCAAGTTGTCTTCTTCCTGGAAGAATGTGGTAAAGGCAGTGTTTTAAAAAAAAATTTAAAGAAGAGGGGGGTGTGACTTTAAAAGGGAGATCTAAAGACACTCTGCCATTGTGATGGGCAGTAAGTACATGTGGCTATTTGAATTTAAATTCATTTAAACTATATGACATTTAGAAATTGATCCACATTTTAGGTGCTCAATAGCCATATCCAGGAAGATTGTTAGAGAGTCCTGAGTGCCTTACTCATACAGAAATCTCTACTGGTCAGCACTTTCGTAACTGATGTACCACTCCAGCTATCTCTCTTGGCCCTAGTTTCCACATATAAAAAATAAAGAATTTGGCCAACTGTGTCACCAGCACTTGGGTACTTTTAAGAAAAAAAAACATCTTAGGAATGTCACTCAGAAGCTATTATGTCAGTCAGATTTCTATCACTGTGACAAATATACCTGAGAAAGTCAACTGAAAAGGAAGAAAGTTTCATTTTGGCTCATGACTGAAGACGTTTCATTCCGTAATGGTCTGGACCCATACCTTTAGTGTCTGTGGGGAGGCAGAGCATCCTATTCAGGAAATCACGGTGAAAGAAAGCTGCTCACTTCATGAAGCCACAAGATAAAGAATGATTGAAAGGCTATCAGAACCCTGATAACTGCTTCAGGAAAATACCTAGTAACTGAACAGCCATCTACCTAAGTGTTTCATTGCTTGCAGATGCAATCACATGTTGGTGATCAAGCCTTTATTAACACATGGCCATTGGGGGACATTTTGGATCAACCATGACAGTTACTGAATTAGACTCTGGGATTGTGCACCAAAAGATCTCACCCATATCCCCCCCCCATCTTTCTTCCCCCACCATGTGTGTATGTGTGTGTGTGTGTGTGTGTGTGTGTGTGTGTGTGTGTGTGTGTGCACATGTGTGTCTGTATACGTTCTTTGAGGATTTTGGACAATATATTTATTCATTTCTCTCCTTTTTCCCAACTCCTTCTAGGTTTGCCTCCTCTACCCTACCCACCTAACTTGTGTCCTCATTTAAAAAAAAGCCAGGCAGTGGTGGCATAAACCTTTAACCCCAGCACTCAAGAGGCTGAGGCAGGTCTATCTCTGTGAGTTCAAGGCCAGCCTGGTCTACAAAGTGAGATCCAGGACAGGCACCAAAACTACATAGAGAAGTCTTGTCTCAAAACAAAAACAAAAACAACAAAAAGACAAAACAAAACAAAAAAGCCATCAAATTTGTTTGTGACACCATGCATAGGACCTATTCAAGCTGAAGCCAGACAAAATCCTAGCGTAGCAATAGGGAAGTGGGCACAAAGTCCCACCCTTAGCTAGGGAGCTATTAGCAATGATAACTGTGGGGAGAGAATTGATTTTCTTTAAGGTTTGGGCCCCTGGATCATGCTCCAGAGAAAGAGTTCATTTCCAAGAGTATATAGGCAGCCGAAGGTGTTTTAACTAACCTTTCAGATGAATTAGCAACATTCTAGTGTTGGGAAGTAGCTGTGTACACGATTTAAAATCATTTTCTGCTGGCTGTCAATGTGTATTGTGCAAAAATGTTCCTGCAAACAGAAGGTTTATAAGGGTGACATAACATTGCTAATGACCATGAAAGGGAAGATTTCACTGCTTTTTCACAGTGGCCACCACTTTAATGCCCCTGCATTGGGAGCCAGAGGGAAACAGTTTCTCATCTTCTTTTATAGCCCGACTTTGAAGACTTTGTATCTTTTGTAACAAGCGGCCTAAGCTGTGTGCTCATTACATCTCAAGGAGAAGAAGAGGAGGTTATCCAGGAAGAAACTCTACCTCAGTCTGATGCAGAAGATGAAGAACCATTTGAGTATCCGGAAGAGACTCATGTTAAGTTTGCACCTATGGTGTCAAAGAAGAAACGGGACAGGTAGCTAAGGCCAGACACTATAATGTGTCCTTAGCTGATGGAGCATAATGCCCAAATGTCTCAAAACCTGATATTCTTATGTAGATACTACAAGTTTCCTTTCAGTCAACCTAGAATACTATATATTCAGAAAATGGGGGATTTCCCTGAATGTTTATGCCAAGAAAGTTAGAAAGGAAAAAGCTCTCCCTGCTGACCCTTCTAAGCCGGGCACGTCATCTGGCCTCATTGTCTCAGGCCTAGAGGGGATACTGGAACCATGCATTGTCTTAGTCAACCCTGCCCATCCTCCAACACTGCACACTTTCTTCCATCTTCCAGACTCTCTCTTTTACTTAAGACTCTTACTGGTATGAAATTGATGGTAACAAAATAAATGTATATTTTGATAATAAATTTCTAGATATTTCAAAATGAGAAAGCAGTTTTCAGAATGCTGTTTTTATGTGTTGCTGCCCATGACCTTTATTCTGCTGAAGACTAAGAGGTGTAGTTGGATCCATCAGTTTTGCGATGGGCCTGAATGAGTTTTGTGAGTAGAAGGCTCTGTGGCTAGGTCCTCTGCTGTTCCATGTCCCAGTGCTGTTGCAGCTTCTGTCAGGGAGTCACAAGATGTTTCCTCCTTGCTTTCGAAAATGTGAGTTTTTCTTGTGGTTTCTGGTCACTTCATATTTCTTAGGTAGCAGGTAATTCTAGAATTTGTTTTGCTATTGTATTGTTGGGTCTAGAACCTAAAGCCTTCTGCATGCTACCCAAGTGTTCTACCTCTGAGCAAGGTTATGATGTCATTTAGTTTAAAGTTTTAAGCAGGACAGAACAACATAAAAGGGGATTCAGTGGATGCTAAAGGGCTTTGGAAGCAGTGGGAGTTACTTTCAGAGTGATAATGTATGGGCAGAAAGAAGTTTTGTATGTGTTATTAAGCTCTAATTCATTAACATACACAGTTTCATACAAGTTTATACCTTAAGTTACAATAATCTTAGGTTATATTTTGGATTTCAACAGTTTGCAAGACTACTTGGAACGACAACACATATCTGAGTTTTGCGATGTTGAGGATGATGCGTCTAAGGTTTCTCAATTGATTGACATCTTATTCCCTAATTTCAAAACCATGAAAAGCAAGAATATACAAAGGACCCTGGCATTACTGCGACCAGATGTCTATGAGGAAAGTAAAGGTAGGCATGAAGCACAAAATAAGAACTTGGTGGGTAGGATTTGAATGTTGTTATCACTTAATCCATTATAATGGATAAAACATTTTTAGCTGAAGAGCTTACAAAGTATTTTCTAATCTGTGACTTGTTAGAGTCTGTCTCACCACTGTTAGGGCCGTGAAGGATACTAGGAGCCAGGACAACTACCTCAAGTCTGCACTGCCTCAGCTCAGGATAGAGCTCTGGGAAAAGCTGATCAGTAGTGTGACCTGAGTAAGATATTGTACCAGGTCTATTTCATTTGTAAAAATCAAAAGACTAAGATGAGCAAGCATACACAAAGTGCCTGGTATTCTGAATGTTAGTTTTTATTTGCCTCTTTGTTTTTCAGTACTGGGGGTGGTGGTGCTCAGGCTCTCATATTTGTAGTTAAGCTCTCTAATAATGAGCTACAGCCGCATCCCTAATTGCTGGACATTTTAAACCCTGATCCATTGTTACGCAGCATAGCAAATGCCCCAAAGTGAGAATAGAGGTCCTAGATAATACCATTCATTCATTTATTCATTTTTTTATGCCTAATGTCTTGAAACATTTGTATAAAAGCTTTGACACAGTATTAGAGATATCATCATAGAATACTGTATTGTAACCCTAGCTCTATTTATATTTGGGGCAGGTAATTTTCTTTTTGAGTGTGTGGGTACATAGGTCATCACATGCTACATTGTCAAATGCTTACCATCGCTCTTTGCCTCTAGGTATCAGGGGCATCTTTTCCAAGCTAAATTGTAACAATGTGAATATCTCTAGACATTGATTGTCAAATGCCCTGAACAGGACTGAGAATCATTTAAAATGCCATCATGTCATCTGCCTTGGGGGACATGCACACTCTTTCTTTCCATTCATGTGCCTTGGTTTCTTTTGCTTTTATTCCTTGTACAAGCTGAAGTGTTTGTGTGATGCTGATTAGGAGCTAATGTTGAAAAGGAGTAGTGAGACACCATATCCTAAGCAAAAGGTTCAGTTTTTGTAACATTCAGTTCATTGTCTGCTATTGATTAAGGAAATTTCTACATAGTAAGTGGCTTAAGGTGAATTTTATTTTTTTGTTGTTAATGCTTTTATTTTTATTTTATTTTGCACTGCTGGGGATTGAGTAGATAGTATGTCTTATTGTAAATGAGTGTTGTCATGTTGTAGACAATTTATTATTTGTCTACTGCAACTATGTATTTTTCTATATTTGATAATATAATAGATTAATTTTTGAAGACTGAACAAGCTTTGCATACCCTGCTTGCTTCTTGTGTGTTCTTAAGCACTTTTGTGTCTGCATACATGGGAGATATTTGTGGTTTCTTTTATGGTAATCTGGTTTGGGTGTCAAAACAATGTGGAACTTACAAAATGAGAGAAAGGAAAGTCTTTTCTCCCATGTTTTCTGGAAGAGGCAGAACATTATTTACTTCAGATATTTCCTAAATGTTTTCTGAGATTTGTTAGAGATGTCATCTGTGCCTGGGATTTTCTGTTTCAGAGGTTTTACTATTTTTTTGTATTTTTTTTCCTTTTGGATTTTTTATCATGACCATGTTGCTTTTTTAAATTAATAGATTTAAAGCTTTGGAAAAACTTTTAGCAAACCACTAACCTACCCTGTAGCTCCCATGTGCAGAGTTGTGCTTCTGCCCCACTTTTCTTGTTGTAACCATCTTGTATTATTACGGTATGTTGTAATTAATGCCACAATATTGTTACTATACCTGGATTAACGTTCATAGTGTGTATGAAGTTTCATTCCTGGTTTCGAACAGTCCAGGTGTGGAGAGAAATGCATGCTGTCATTTATCCACTTGCAGATTAGGTCCACATGGAGTCTCAGGCCTGAAAGTCGCTGTGCTTCTCTTTCTTGTGCACACCCTGCCAGGTCTGAGCTCTTTGCTGTCTTTTCAGTTTGTGTAGCTGGAAGTTTTCCTGGTCCTGCCTGGTCCACAACCACTCAGACCCAAGTAAATACACAGAGGCTTATATTAATTAAAACTGCTCAGCTATTAGCTCAGGCTTACTACTGACTAGCTCTTACACTTAAAGTCAGCCCATTTCTGTTAATCTATATGTCGCCACATGTTCTGTGGCTTTACCTGTGTGCCATTACATGCTGCTCCCTGGATGGTGGGCTGGTGTCACCTGACTCAGCCTTCCTCTTTCTAGAATTCTCCTTGTCTGCTTATCCCACCTATACGTCCTGCCTGGCTACTGGCCAATCAGCATTTTATTAAACCAGTGTACAAAAGCATTATCCCACAGCATTTCCCCTTTTCTGTTTAATTAAAAAGGGAAGTTTTAACTTTAACATAGTAAAATTATATATAACAAAACAGTTATCCATCAGCAATTACAGTTGCAATATCTAGTCTCTTTATATTTGGCAAATTTAAAGGAAATATTTTATTTAACCTATATTTGTGAGTCCAAGGTAGTTTCATATCTACCTTATCTCTTATCATAACCAAGGAAAACCATAATTATAACCATCTAGTCTTCACTACATCAAGACCTCAGAAGGATATAATATTACCTAAGTAAACAGGAAGAACATTGTAAGCAACTTCCAAAACTCTGGAAATTACAGAGACAGCAGCCTGCCTGGATAGTCATCCAAAGTTCCTCTGCAGTGTTGGGACATCCATCTTCAGCCCATAGGCCTATTCTCTCAGTAACTTCTCTCTGTGTCCTATAGAATGTCTAGCAGTTTCTTCTGCAAAGCAGGAACCTAAAAGACCATTTTTCCTTGCAAAGTTCAGTGGTCACCTTCCTATGGGTCCTGAATGTCCAGTCAATGCAACATTTTGTCAAGCAGTCCAGGAAAGAACAATTTCTTGCCCAAATGGCTATTTTTGCCAAGAAGAAGATAAACTCCATATGGAGTGTCTTTGATGCCCACCTTTCTCTCTGAAGTAAATTGTTGCTGCCAGGAACAGACATGTCTCATTGTCCAGGAAAGTCTATGTTTTTAAAACATTTTAAATGCCATATTCTGTAGGTCTTTGAAGTGTTTGAAGATTATCTACCTAACTGAAATATATCTATGTATACCTAGAAAACTTAACTAACATGACTATAAGTTTGATTATCATAGAGGATTTCTTAATTATCCATTACAATTTAAATGAGCTACACAAACATAATACCTTAAACAAGAGTAGAAATATACATACAGTATAACAAAATTAACTTTAAATTTGTATCAATAAATTAAAATCTATACCAATGTAAAACATTTTAAACAAATTGCTCTTTAAAAGTAAGTTCAATGATCCATCCTTTTATCTTTTCATATCTCTACCATATATTTCCATATCATATTCCCCTTTCTTCTTTTAAAAAGATATTGACTATGACCAATAACAATTTGCAACCAACAATCTAAACAACGACAAACATCCATGATCCATTTTTTTGGAATGTGGGCATAGTTTTCTAGGCTACTTCCTGCTGATAAAGGGCACTGTATTCTTATGGGAATCCTGAGAAAATTAAGAATTATGGTCAAGTCCTGACTGGAATAGTATGTGAGGCTGCATTGTCTGAGCCAGTTGCCTTGAAGCCATTCTGGATGTTGGATCATCTGGGCCATGGTGTCATTGGAGACCTTTCAGGGGGTCTTGGCTGGTTAAACCATATTAACCTAGAAGCAATCCATAGGTTCTCATCTTCTGTGGAAACAAAAGCAGAACCTCTTTTCCAAAGCAATATATACTTAGACATAAATTTTGAAATTGAGATACCTTTAAAATATACATAGTGATTTAACTCAGCAGTTTTTATACTCAATTGTCTCTCTGCAGTTAAAAATCCTAAAGACAATATGATCCAGACTCTCTGTGTGATATCCATCTTTACATGGCTTTTTTTTTAAAAAAAAAAAAACTTTTACTTTCTCTTTAAAGACTTTATTTTTAAATTTTTTCTATTTCTTTATATAACTGTCTATATTCCTTTTCCCCTCTCTTTTAAGCCTATGTACATTTTTGCATACATTGTAAACTGTTTAGGGTTTATCTCCTCTGAATCTGTCTTATTCTGAATCTATAATTCTTTTCTGGTCAGAAGAGACTTTAAACTGCTAAACTGTGTGGCCAGGACAAAAAGCCTTGGCTGCTGACTCTGCCCATTTCAGCTTTTCAACATGGCAGAGGTAATTGACCTCCAACTCTGGGCCATATGTACCATCAGCTTTCAGAAGCAGTGGGTCTATGTCTCCACTTTAAAGCAGCATGTAGCCCAGAAACCTTTTCTTTTCTTTGTCTGTACTAGCAAAAGCTAAATCCATCATGCAGCATACAGCATGACTTGGAGATGCCTCTGTGTATCATGGCAGTAATATGGCATGCTGCAGGTCAAGCCCACCCACCTCTGTGAACCTGTCATACTGTAATCCCAGCTTGCCTGAGAGACACAACTAGAAAGCTGTTTTTAGCTCCATTTATGTGTGTTTAGAATTCCTTTTTACACTCTTTTAGGCCTTATGGAAATTCGAGAACACCAAGTTGACAGCCGCTCAGACCCAAATAAACACACAGAGGCTTATATTATCTACAAACTGTATAGTCTATGACAGGCCTCTTGCTGGCTAGCTCTTCTATCTTAACTCATTTCTATTAATCTATGTTTTGCCATGTGTTCTGTGGTGTTACTTGCATCCATTATGTGTTGCTCCTTGGGCAGCTGGCTGGTGTGTCTCCTCTGTTCTCACTTTCTCCTTCCTCCTCTCTAGTTAGAATGTCCCTCCTAACCTTATTCTGCCTCACCATTGGCCAAATGGCTTTATTTATCAACCAGAGCAACACATATCCACAGCTTATGGAACGAACCACATCATCCATCACAGGAAAACTTTCAGCTATGCCCATTTTTTAAAATTTAAATTTATTTGTAATTTATGCATATGAGTTTTTTTGTTTGCCCATCTGTTTGTGCACAATGTGCATGCCTGGTGTCCATGAATGCCAGAA